TCCTTCCCCCTTCCCCCTTCTTCTCCCACCCCCTTCCTCCATCTCCTCCTTCTCCTCCTCACTTGGTTTGATTTCAAGTTTAAATTATTGACATATTATTAGCAGTAATAATAAACATCTGCTTAGCTATATTTTTAATTAGGAAAATTGATAGTATGTAGACATTATAATTCAATCCTATGAAATATTCTCACTTTCTGTTATATTGTTTGCATTATATTTGCATAGCTTTATTACTTTTTTCCCCACTTTCTTTTTAGTTCCACTCTTATCTCAGAAAAGTCTCATTTAACAATAGTGTTGGGCAGATGATTTCTTTTGATCAAAATGGGAACCTGGAAGCAGGATTTGATATTATTAATTGGATCACATTCCCAAATCTAACATTACATCGAGTCAAAGTGGGAACATTTGATCACAGAGCTCCCAAAGACAATACTTTCAGTCTTTATCTTGATGCCATCAGATGGCCAAGGAGATTTAACCGGGTATGTTCTTTCTATAGTCTGCAGCCTATCTCATTATTTTCTCTGCTCTGTTCAGAATATAAATAGTAAAGTAACCATATTGCATTAAGTCAGTTAGTTGATGCTTATTCCAAATAACTATAGAATCAAAATTGATTTGAAAGATTCTAAATAGTTTAATGACTGAGGATCCTGAGGGTGAGATCATCTTTTCAGGGGGTGTCCATTTTTGATTATATATTTATGTCTAGTAGCCATGAAAGGGCTCAGTGGCTAAGATGCTGAGCTTGTCGATCAGAAAGGTCAGCAGTTCGGTGGTTCATATCCCTGGCACTGGGTAGTGGAGTGAGCTTCCATTAATTGTCCTAGCTTCTGAAAACATAGCAGTTTGAAAGCACATAAAAATGCAAGTAAAAAAATAGGGACCACTTTGGTGGGATGGTAACAGTGTTCCATGCGCCTTCAGCGTTAAGTCATGCCGGCCACATGACCATGGAGACATCTTCAGACAGCATTGGCTCTTCAGCTCTGAAATGGAGAGGAGCACCACCCCCTACAGTTGAGAACAACTAATACATATGTGTGAGGGGAAACTTTACCTTTACTTAGTAGCCACTCATGCCAGATCACTAAATCTCCAGAACCGTAAAGCCTATAAACTTGAAATGTGGCATGCATGTTCCTCTTGGCTTCTAGGTGCTTGCTTTGAAAGGATTTTTCGTAATGACCATCAGATCATTAGTATTTGTTATATTATTATTAACATACTCTGATGCTAAGGATTTTTACTCCCCCCTCCCCACCTGAAAATATTTATGTTCAAACTGGCGCTTGGGTGTGGCCAGCATGTGACTCATGCAGTCTGTTGGTTTAGAGTTTGGAGAGGACCTGAGGCAGAGGAGATAAGATAGGAAAGGCTTCTGTGGGGCAAGCCTGAGGGATAGAAGGGGATAGGATTGGGGGGGGGCTTCTGTGGGGCAAGCCTGAGGGAGAGAAGGGAGAGAGGAGTGGCTGATCATAACTACTCATTAATTTTCAAGCTGTAAGTGTCAATTTATCAAGCCGGATTACATATTTTCATAGTGGAGCATGGGTATTCAGCTAGTAAAGTTATATGGCTATACCAGCTTCAGTCCAAGATTAATATATTGTACTTTACCCATTTGTTCAGTAGATTTTTCTAAGAATTAAAGCAATTGTGACTTCCCATTGCACACAGGTACAGCCTCGTTCTTTGTGTAACAAACCCTGCCGTAAAGGTCACAGCAAGACTAAGAAGGAAGGGAAGCCATTTTGTTGTTATGATTGTTTTCCATGCCCAGAAGGAAAAGTGTCAAACTGGACAGGTAAGGCACAATGCCTAGCGAATTTTAATCCATTGGTGATGGGAGTGGTATTACAAGGATAAAAAAAGGGTGATAAAAAGGAGGGTGATAAAAAGGAGGGTGAATAAAATAGGCCTGTGCATGTGACACAAGCTCTGACCGTTTTTTTTATTTATGTGTTGGTGATGTCATTCCACACCTACAGTGATAGTGTTTGCACTGCATCATTGTTTTCATCATTTGCTTGTTTTAATTGATTCCTCTGGGGCCAAGTGTATCCAGACTAGAGATCTAAACACTGGGATTCATATTTTCCATTAATATGGGAAATAGCTGGAATCTCCCTCCTCCCCACCAGGGGATGTTATAAAATGCACAAATGGTGAAGTGCTCAAAAGGAAGACAATGCAGGGATTTTTCAAGTTACGGATCCTTGATTTTGTATTTCCATAGATTCCATAGGAACCATACACATTTGTAATGCTCTACATGTAGAGATTTCACACAACAGGGTGAGAGTTAAAGAAAAGTGCAGGGTTTGGAAGAGAACAAAACATTCCCATTTTTCATTCAAATTGGTAGAACAGTTTTTAGTCCATGTTCTTTTAAAACTGGCTTCGTCCACCTTCTTTTAAAACATCCTTAAGGTGCGGAGACTCATAGTACTTGAGGAAGAGTTCTAAAAAGAATAATATGTGTTTGTTTTTGTGCCTGAGCTCACATAGGTTTCTCCACAATTTATCACGAATTTACACTTTGAATTTGGTCCGGTCATTCTCTCAATTCAACGTTTCCCACCAGCTTGTTTTTGTAGAGAAAGCAAAACAACAGAGGACTAGGTGGGTTGCCTAGAACATCTTAAGGAAAAGTGGAATATAAGCCTAATGAATGAAAAGTAAATAAACAAAGAAATGGGTATTGGCCTCTGAATTATGTCTCAAGAAAGCACTTGGGAATAATGATGATGATGTTATCCATTTAGTCATGTCCACTTCCAGTGCTTCTATGGGCCAGATTTCTCCTTGTCTTCTAATCCTGGCCTACTTCTTTGTGTTGTTCTGTGCCAAAGAGACTTTACTTTTCTTTTCAGACATGGATTCCTGTTACCAGTGTCCAGAGGATCACTATCCCAGCAAAGCCCAGGACCAGTGCATTCCAAAAGAGATCAGCTTCCTATTTTTCCAAGAACCGTTGGGGATCACCTTGGCCATTGTTGTGCTTTTATTTTCCTCCATCACAGCTCTGATCCTTGCAGTCTTTGTCCAACACAAGAATACACCTATCGTCAAGGCCAACAACCAGGGCCTCAGCTACACCCTTTTAGTCTCCCTTCTGCTTTCCTTTCTCTGCCCTTTGCTTTTCATTGGTCACCCTCAGAAGGTAACCTGTCTCTTTCGCCAAACTGCTTTTGGCATCATTTTCTCTGTGGCGGTTTCTTGTGTGGTGGCCAAAACCCTCATTGTGGTCCTAGCTTTCATGGCTACTAGGCCAGATTCTAAGATGAGGTCATGGGTAGGGAACAAGTTGGCCCTCTTTATGGTGCCTTCCTGCTCTATTGTTCAAACTACTCTTTGCACTGTGTGGTTGGTGAACTCCGCCCCCTTCCCAGATCTTGACATGCACTCTCTACCTACAGAAATAGTCCTGGAATGCAATGAAGGCTCCACTGCCATGTTTTATTGTGTCCTGGGCTTCATTGGCCTCTTGGCCATGATCAGCTTTACAGTGGCTTTCCTTGGCAGGAACCTCCCAGACAGTTTCAATGAAGCCAAATTTATCACCCTCAGCATGCTTCTCTTTTGCAGCGTCTGGATCTCATTTGTCCCAGCCTACCAGAGCACCAAAGGGAAATACATGGTGGCTGTGGAGATCTTCTCCATCTTAGCCTCAAGTGCTGGATTACTGACCCTCATTTTCTTCCCCAAAGTTTATATCATCTTGATAAGACCTGAGCTGAATAACAGGCAACAACTCATGCAAAAAACTCTCATGAAATGATTTATAGAAATCAGTCTGTTATGCAATGGGATTTAGATGAGTGACAAAACCACTCTAAAGTTGCATTGATAGTTACCTTAAAAGCTTTTCAAAACATAATGGCTGGAATTAAGTGATGTAGTAGTAGTAGTAGTAGTAGTAGTAGTAGTAGTAGTAATAGTAACAACAACAACAACAACAACAACAATCACCACCACCACCACCACCACCACACACACACACACACACGTGTGTGTGTGTGTGTATGTATATATGTACGTATGTATGTATGTACACATGTACTGCTGTAAAATGGTTTTTTCTGTGCAGCGCAGTGGAGTGGCCATGGTAACAGCTTCACAGTACTCCACAAGGGGACTCCCTCTGGTAAGGAGGAAAATTCAATGTTAGAAATTATGTTTGGTCTGGATATTTTCACCCTATAAATAAATACCCAGGCAATGCTGGGTTATCAACTAATGCTCTATAAAATGCCAGTGTATTTTTTTAAATTGGATTCACATGTTTTCCCTTCCTTCACACATACATCAAAACAGAATGTCAATGATTGCAACAGTGTGCATGAATGGGAAAGGATCTCATACTTTACTCCTTTATCAAAGGAGACAACTCTTCCTCTTAATCTGTCTCTTTTCCTCCACATCTTCAATAGAACTGTTTTACTGCAGACATTATTTGTGGCAAGCTATTAAATGGAAATTAAATTCTCTGTGGTCAGATGGACCATAATAAATCTATTAGATCACAATTAATTATGTTGTTTAATTGTTAGTATGTTATATCCCTCATGCATTAAGTCAACAGCTATGACAATATTTGTATAAATACTATGTATAATCATTATTATAATGCTCCATTTAAGAATTTTCTGTACATCACATCTGTGAATGGAAATTCATTGCATTGCCTTGTATTCATTAAGAAGAATGATCTTGAATTCACCCTGTTTTCCTGTGAAATGTTGGGAATAACAGTGTATTTTTAAAAATACTCACAAATTCTTATAAGTTTTTATTTATTGTTCATGTCCACACCTCAATTGCATTTATTTTGACATTCCTTTATTTCTTAAAGCTCAACTGTAATGAGCTTTTTTTTTAAAGACAATTTTATATTTTCTACCCTGTTTCCCTGAAAATAAGACCTCTCCGAATAATAAGCCCAATTGGGCTTTTAAGCGTATGTGTTAAAATAATCCCTCTCCCAAAAATAAACCCTCCCCAAAAATATTGAAACACAGCAGCAGTCATGAGGTGACCATGCTCGCCGCTTCGTGCACCTTAAAAATAATAAGACCTCTTGAAAATAAAGGGATGTGCTTATTTTGGGGGTCACGAGGAAACAGAGTATTCTGGATTATGTATATTGTTTCCTCACCCTTTTAGAGATAAAGAATGAAAATATTTTATGCTACTTTCCCTCTTATTTTACAGTGGTAGCAGTAACACAGCAGCAACAGCAGCAGCAGCAGCAGCAGCAGCAGCAGCAGTAGTAGTAATAGAAAAAAGTAGTAATAGTAGTAATACATTTGGCTGGTATTCCATGAGTACATGTGAAAGTTCCTTCAATACACAAAAATAGTACAAAAACAGTTTAGGTGCCACTTTGACTTTTTCAATCACCAAGGGCCCTGGAGAGAGGGAGGGAAAGAAGGAAGGAATGAGAAAGGGAGTGGGAGCGAATAACTCTTCAAATAACTCTAGTCTCATAACAACATATTCACAAGGAAAAAGCAAAAATCTATTGAAATATGTAATTTGTCAACTTTCAAAATAGCTCTAGCTGAAGTCATAGTTTTCTTTGTCTGTCTCATAGTTTCCACGCTTGTGGAGGTGGGAAGGGGACGTGTGGAATGTAGAATGTTTTCCTTCAGACTGCCAGACATAACAATGATAAGATCCCGAGAACTAAGGGCAGCCTGACGTATCCTAGCAATGGCAGGAGGGAGTGCTAAGAAGCTCATCACTTGCTTGGTTAACTAACATGACTTGTAACACAAGGGGGGTGGCCAGTATCTGCCAATTAATTATGACAAAGCATGGAAATTTCAAAACTTCAAAAATTTAGCAAGGGGTTCTCTGCCTGGTTGCTGGATGGGCATGGCCATAGTGGGTGTGGCCTAGTTGTCCTCCTGAACCATGGTCCCGAACTTCCAGTAGACCCATTTTTGCCCTCCCTAAGCCTCCGCATGTGCCTTGCACTTACCTGCATCCAAAATGGGCCACCTGGGGATTCTTTGGAAGGGAGTGGTGGGCAGGGCCAGCCAGGAGTGGGATTTGGGGGTTTTCCAAACTGCGCAGAATCTTAGTTAGAGGTTCTCTTGAATCCCTGCAAATCCCAAGCAGCCCACCTCTGGAATTATTCAGAATTGGCTTTTACATTTGACCATGCTCATATGATTCCCCAATAAACAGGATCTTTGAGAAAGCAACTGCCTCATAGTCTTGAATTACCATATTTTTCAGAGTATAAGACACACCGGACGCACCAAGATTTTGAAGAGGTAAATTTTAAAAGAAGTTTTTTTCACTCTGCAAACCTCCCAAACACACTCCATGCCTCGTTTTTGTTTTTGTTTTGTGAAAAACAGAACATGCAGAGAATTTGAGAGGCCTGCAAAGTGCTCCTGGGGGCTGGGGAGGCAAAAACAAGCAAAAAACAGCCCATTTTTCACAAAAACAGATGGCATGCATAGACTTTAGGAAGCTTGTGGAGTGCTCCTGTGGGCTGGGGAGCCAAAACAAGCAAAACAGTGGCCTGTTTTTCACTCATTTTTGCCCTCTCCAGCCCCCAGAAGCACTTTGCAGGTCTCTCAAACGCTCTGCATGTCCATTTTTGTGAAGGGGGTGGGGTTTCAGAAGGCCAAAAATACTGAATTCAGTTTATAAGACGCACCCAGATTTTCACTCTCTTTTTTGGGGGAAAGGTGCATCTTATTCTCCAAAAAATATGGTAATTGGGAGAATTACTCAGAACCATGACACAATTGTTTTCTTCTACAATACTGCAAAGAACTAGTAATTTTGCAAGGTGATTATCTCACATGGAGTTACTGTTCTGATAATGGTATCTTCTACTTCATCTCCCAAAGGACAAGCAATATACCTTGGCACAAGAGAGAAGTGCTTATCAAAATATTCTACTAAAATATGTCTTGCCATTCAAGAAAGGAATCCAACATAGATTGCTTGGTGATCTTCGCCTGAACATACCTAGTGGAAAGTGTGACAGGACACTAAATCATCCAGAAGTCCTTATAGGTTCTGATGTCCCCAAGAAGAAGTTTCTACCTAATGCCACCTTTTCTGTTTCTGATATTACTGCTACTGCCTCAGACTATGTCTAATGTCCCAGTTGCTACTTGCAATATCTATTACCCTTTGCCAATAAGTCACCGGTATTATCAGCCAGGGGACTTCAGCATTGCTGGTATTATTTCTCAAGTATATACATTTTCTGACCCTGTGACTTTCAATCAGCATCCATCTCACAACCTCCTAGATGAGATTGGGTAAGCCAAGGTTTTGATTAATTGTAGCATTTTCCATAATGGGTTTTCTTGCCACAAATTGTATTGTTATTTGAAGCAGTCAATTCCACCAAGAAAGAATAAATTGGAGGGAATCATGTACTGGCATGTGCTATTTTACACTAGCCTTAATTTAGCTGCTATTCCATGAATATGGGTGAATATTCTTGCTGTGGTGTTCAGCCTTCCAACCACTCTTTCTTTCTTTCTTTCTTTCTTTCTTTCTTTCTTTCTTTCTTTCTTTCTTTCTTTCTTTCTTTCTTTCTTTCTTTCTCTCCCTCCTTCCTTCTTTCTCTTTCTTTCTCTTTCCTTCTTTCCTTCTTTCTTTTCCTTCTTTCCTTCCTTTCTTTTTCTTTCCATCCTTTTTCCTTCCTTTTCTTCCTTTCCTTGCTTTCCTTCCTTTCCTTCCTTTCCTTCCTTTCCTTCCTTTCCTTCCTTCCTTCTTTCTTTTTTTCTTTCCCAAGTATGATTGGATACACAAGGAATTTGTCACTGGTGAATACGCTCTCAATCAACAAAGTAATATAATTATAAGATACCAATAGGAAAAGGTGGTAGGAAAGTTATAATATACTCCACGTAACATTTCACAAAACCAACAAGAAATGTCAGACATGAAAATATATACTCGACAATTCCTTGCCAACTTGAGAGATTTCTTAATGGAAATCACATGATATTGTATTTATTTATTTTATTTATTAGACACATTTATATGCCACCCAATCCCGAAGGACTCCTAATATTGATTATTTGTCCAACAAATATTACCTGTATACATCAGATGGAAATCTACCATCAATTTTGGTTCACCTATCTTGTGAACCCCCACTTAAGATGCAAATAATATGTGAATGCAAATAAATAAAAAACAATAGAAAGCTGAGCTTTGAATAGTCCAAATGGGAATGAGTCCATGCATAGCTTCCAGATAAATACCACTGTTAAAGTGATATTTTAAGGCATCTCTGATTGTGTAGCCTAAAGTTTTGGAAGAAAATTCAGCAAGTTTCTGAAATCATTCAGCATATAAATCACACTGCAGATTTGTGACTCAGATTTACCAACATACCCTGGCCTTTGCATTTGCCATAATGGAGATTAATGGAAATCCTCAGATATTACCCAATATCTCTCTGGGATTCCACATCTATAACAGCCATTTTGTTGCAAGTTGGACATATCTCGCCTCACTGGAGCTTCTCTCCACATGGAGCAACTTTATACCGAACTACAAGTGTGATAATAAAGATAATATTGTTGCAGTCATTGGGGGACCTGATTCAGATGTGAGTTTCTTTATGGCAACTATTCTGAACAATTACAAGCTACCGCAGGTAAGATGTGCACATAGCACTTAGTGCCTGAAAAAACTAGAAGTGTGTCCTTTCAGCCTTGATGTAGTTTGTGTGTGTAATGTAATGTGTATAAACATTATTGCAGTGGATAATTTGTAATAAAATGTATACAAATACTGGAATAGCATCTTAAAAAGTGATAGCCTATGAATCACATTAATAGATTTCCATAACTTTGAAAGGATAATTAAGCAAGACCCAGACCTTGAAGAATAAGAAACTGGAGTGAATGTCCGCATCCTCTATTGGTAACAAAATTAAATTAATGCCAGCCCCTGCTTGCTTCCCTGTGAAGTCAGTGTGTGTATCATCTATCTATATGTCTGTGTATGTATCATCTATCTATCCATGTGTGTGTATGTAGATAGATAGATGATAGATGGATGGATGGATGGATGGATGGATGGATAGATTAGTAAAAAAATTAAATTAATTCCAGCTGCTGCTTGCTTCCCTGTGAAGTCAGGATTTGTGTGTCTCTGTGTGTGTAACATTTATCTATATGTGCGTTTATGTATGTATATGTATCATCTTTCATCTATCTGTCTATATGTGTTTGTAGATAGATAGATAGATAAATAGATAGATAGATAGACAGATAGACAGACAGACAGACAGAGCCAGCCAGCCAGCCAGCCAGCCAGCCAGCCAGCCAGCCAGCCAGCCAGCCAGCCAGCCAGCCAGCCAAAAGACAGACACATACAGTGGATGGATGGATGGATGGATGGATGGATGGATGGATGGATGGATGGATGGATGGATGGATGGATGGATATGGAGATGGAGATGGAGATGGAGATGGAGATGGAGATGGAGACAGAGATATTTCCTCACAATGGAGATATTTTAATATTCATTGAATTCTCTTTTGGGTTGTGCACTATAAATTTTGATTGCAGAAAGATACAAAATCTGCCTGCTGATAAACCTTTAAAACCTGAATGAAAGTAGACAGAAATGTAGACATGGACACACAGACACACACCACATAATAAATACCTATAGTTTTTTTACATTGTGAATTGGGAGATTGGATGGAAGATACAATATATCACAGCAGAAGCATTTACCAGGATTGTCTGAGATATGTGTGCTTGTATGCATGTATATCAAAATAAGCAAAATGCCATGTCAATCTCCACTCTAACAGGACTTGGTCCTACCTACTTTTCTTCTTCTACCATTCTTTCCTAAAATATGAGATGGATATCCTCCAATAAAATTTTTATCCACTCTCATCCTGTCTACTTAGTTTTTCCTTTCCTTATAGCTTGGATATGGTTCTTCTCCTGTGATTAATGGCCCATCCCAACAAGCCTTCTTCCAATGGATGTTCCCTAATATTAACCAACAGTATGTTGGTATGCTCCAACTGCTTTTGCTTTTCACGTGGACTTGGATTGGTGTCATTTTTATAGAGGATGACAATGGCCTCAGGTTTGTACAGAAAGAACTTCCAAAGTTTTCCCAAGAGGGTATCTGCTTTGATTTCATAGAACCATTGCCACCTCTATATTTTAAAACTGGCATTCATGAAATGGTAGAGTCATGGGTCAAACTGTACCTCTTGATACATGATAGCAAAGTCAGTGTTGTAGTCTTGCATGGGGAAATTCATACGATGATCGTTTTGAGAATGTTTCCCAGAATTCCAGAACTTGAAGACATTCCTAGGAACACAAATGGTAAACTCTGGATGATGACAGCCCAGATGGAGTTCACCTCTATTCCTTTTCAACGATTATGGGACATAGATATCCTTCATGGTTCCTTAGCCTTTGCAACTCAATCCAAGGAGCTGGAAGGTTTCCACAGTTTCCTTTATATGAGAAACCCTTATAAGGAAATCGGAGATGGTTTTATTAAGGACTTTTGGAAACAGGTATTTGATTGTTCCTTTTCATCTTCCTTGGAAGAGGGCAATGTTTGGAATCACTGCACTGGGAAGGAGAAACTGGAAGCTCTTCCTAGGTCTATTTTTGAGATGAGCACGTCCTCCCATAGCTATAGTGTCTACAATGCAGCTTATGCTGTGGCCTATGCATTGCAATCTATGAGGTCATCAATATTGAAACACAGAATTATGTCAGAGGAAAGACATAAGGACCTTCTGAATCCATTCCTGTGGCAGGTAATGTCCTGATTACATAAACACAAGATTATGTTCTTCAGCCTCTAACATGTGGTTAGATATTAACTTTATCGGTTTACTGTCTATGTAAAAAGGTTCAAAATCTTAGCTTTTTCCCATTAAACCTCAATGATAACAATGACTATAGGAAATGAACTTACTTTAATGGGTAACCTAACTGTATGGATTATAGATAAAGTTAAAGTTTCCCACACACATGCTCATCTCCATTTCAAAGCCGAAAAGCCACCGTTGTTCGAAGACATCTCCGTGGTCATGTGGCCGGCATGATTCAATGCCGAAGGTGCATGAAACAATGTTACCTTCCCCCCAAAGTGGTCCCTATTTTCTACTTGCATTTTTTGGTATGGTTTCAAACTGCTAGGTTGGCAGAAGCTGGGACAAGTAACAGGAGCTCACTCCATTACGCGGTGCTAGAGATTCGAACCGCTGAACTGCTGACCTCCTGATCGACAAGCTCAGCATCTTAGCCACGGAGCCACTGCATCCCTGTATGGATTATAGCGAGTTCCAATTAAGAGATGGGAGAGTGATGGCTCTCTTATCATCTGAAAAATCCAATGTCATTATTTTGTTTTTCTCCACTTCATTCATGTTTTTCTATTCAAGCTTGTTACTATAATAGATGGCTATCTTGGTTACTAAGATTAGTTCATTTCTTTCGCTATTTCTTTTTTTCTGTTATGCAGCTAATTCTGTCTTCTCAAATACACTTACCTTATAAGACAGGGGTGCTTAGATCTGGCCCACAGGACTGCCCTGGAAACAGCAAAAGATGGGCATGTGGTCTCTCTGGCAGTGAAAGGAGCTCGGGAGGGTTGTGGAGCTCCATTTTCACTGGCAGAGGGTTGCAGGAAGCCGAAAATGGAGCTTGGGAAGCTGTTTTTGTTGGCAGAGTACTTGGGCCAACACAAACGCCCCCAACATAAGTGATGTCAAACTGCCCATACCCCCTGTCCATGCTCACCCTGGCCCCCAAAGGTCAAACACAACCCTGATGCGGCCCTCAATGAAATCAAGTTTGACACGCCTGTTAAAGATATTACAGCATGTGTATAATTTTTGTATAGCTTCATCACACATTTCCTTTTGCTCCACTGTCAATTTAGTTCCACCACTATCTACGAAAAGTCTCATTCAACAATAGTGTTGGGGAAATGATTTCCTTTGATCAGAATGGGAACCTAGAAGCAGGATTTGATGTTATCAACTGGATCACATTCCCAAATCTAAGTCTACATCGAGTGAAAGTGGGCAAATTTGATCTCAGAGCCCCCAAAGACCAAGTGTTCAGTATTTCTGTGGATGCCATTAGGTGGCCACAGACATTTAACCAGGTATTTTCCATATTCTCAATTAGATTTTCTCCACCTTTATTATTATAACTCAAGATGTCAAACTTGCATAATAATCCTTCTTCCATCTATTTTCCCCACTACAACACTGAGCAGTCAGCTTTCATGCCTATGGTAAGGATTAGAATTCGCATTCTCCTGATTTCTAGGCCAGCATTTTAACCAATGCACCAGTTTAACCAATGTAGCTGGGGTCCATATCATTTGTTCAGGATGCAGATCATGAAAATAGTTGTATGATCAGAAATTTATTTTCAAGCTTTTTGTAGTGATCCAGATCTTTTCTGGCTAAAATCCACAGCCAGCTGATTTCAATAACTGCAAACTTGCTAATTTTTCATATTATTACATAGGATTACTTTGCATAATGGTTTTGTCTATGTAATTCTATTACATAGAATTATTTTGCATAGTGCTTTTGTTCTTTTTTTAAAGGTTAACATAACAAGAATTTGAGGGGGAAATGTAACTAATTTAATATTGCAGATGGCACCAATTGATGGGATGAAAACAACACACAATTCTACTGCAAAGTCATTGCCTCAAAGCGGGCAGAGGTGTCAAAGTTTGAATTAGATTATTGTGATTATGATTTAGTTACTTACAGGACTGTAATAATAGATTTTGGCTGAGACAGAAAATAAATCTATTGATTCAGAGGCACTTGTGTGCACATGCCTTTCTCAAACTAAATGTCTATGGAGATTCTTAGGCACAGTTTTCCCAACAGTGCTTTTTCAAGAGGCAACAGACTTTCCTGTTGTTCTTTGAAGATATTTTGAAAAGGGAAACATCTTCAAAGAGAAATAGGAAAGTCCAGTTGCCTCTTGAAAAAGCATCTTTGGAACTTTCTCGAACTACTGTACTATTCTGATTATCAAATTGGAACTACTGTTATGTGGCTACCTAAGTAATAACCCAACATTTAAGGATTCTGCCTTGTTGTCTTTTCTTTTTGCCTAGGCTCAGCCTCTCTCTTTGTGCAATGAACCCTGCCATAAAGGTCAGAGCAAGAGCAAGAAGGAAGGGAAGCCATTTTGTTGTTACGATTGCTTTCCATGCCCAAAAGGAAAAGTTTCAATCCAGATGGGTAAGGCTATAATGGATTGAGTTTGAATTTGGAAGCAGGTGGTGGTATTTGTAAAACATCACATAAAGATCAGGCTGAATAGAAGTTGGTATTCTCCTGCTACGATGATGTAATGCTGGGAATGAGTCAGCAAGATTTTTTAGCTGATATCACTTTAAGACCCTGTAATAATAAGAGGCCCTGTTGGGGCATATCTCTCTCTCTCCATGTGTGCTTCTATGATGTAATTGCTTGTTTGAGGTCTGACTAAAATATGTGTATGTATATATTCTTTGTAGATAAAACCACTATTTAAAATACAAACAACTCTTTACTATATTTGCTCCTGGGTTGTCTTACATAATCAAACTATGCACACTCTGACAGAATGCCAGAGGCATCTTCAGGATCCAGTGCATTGCCCAGTAGGATAGTTTATAAAATAAAATTTCCATCACAAGAGTTACACTATGGCTTTCATACTTTCCTCCCTGTGGATCCCATTTGGGATAGGGACTTGATCCAATTGTTTATCCAGATCTGGAAGAGATGTCTGAAAACAGGGATCCATACTTCCAATATTATGGGAAATAGCATGATTTTTCAATTTTCTTTTTATATAATGGCTTAAAATACACCCACATATATCCACATTACAATGAATGTAAAGGAAGGATTTTGGCAGTATCGAAGTATGTATCAAATGCAGAACATACATTTCATATTTATGTTATTAAATGTAATTAAATGTAATTATGTTCTTAATTAGTTACATAACAGTAACAGTCTTACTTCTATTCTCTTTAGTCTACTAATATAACTCTTTTTCCCTTTCTTCCTCTTTTAACCATTTTTTCTTGGGCTCTCAAATGTTCCACTTTTAATTCTTTTTCTTCTCCCACTTTCCCCTAACTTATTCTTTTTCTTTTTCCTGTTTTTGTGGTTATTGTATCTTTTCTTCAAAGTACTGTATTTTTGGAGTATAAGACAAAAAGGGGCTAAAAATCTGGGTGCATCTTATACACTGAATACAGCATTTTTTTTCCTCCTGAAACTCCACTCAGTTCACCAAGTTCATCATGCATAGCTTGAAGGAGGCTTTCAGAGAGCTCCTGGCGGCTGGGGAGGGCACAAATGAGTGAAAAATGGGCTGTTTTTTGCTCATTTTGCCCTACCCCCCCACCCCCAGGAACACTCTACCAGCTTCCTAAAGGCTATTCATTTTTTAAAAATAAATGGACCTATTTTTGCAAAAAATGGGCTATTTTTTGGAGGTTTGCAGAGTGCAAAAACTTTTTAAAATTTGCCTCTTCAAAACCTTTGTGTGTCTTATATTCTGGTGCATCTTATACTCCGAGAAATATGGTATTTGCTTTTATTATTCTAGTAACTTTCCTCAGGGTTTTTCCTGTTCTCCTTTTCTTTCTATTTTGTGGTTTCTTTTGGGGGGGGGAATCTCCTCCTTTATCTGCTTATTCTTAAATGAAGAGATGTTTGTTTGAGACATGTATAATACCTTGTGGAAATCTAATGACTTGAAATTGATGCAGTTTTATTTGGAGCTCATTTTATGTACTGAGCCATTCTTTGTAACTTGACTAGATATGCCAAATTCTTAATAACAAACTTTGTTTATTTTTTTTCTTTTCAGATATGGATTCTTGCTACCAATGTCCAGGAGATCACTATCCCAGCAAAGCCCAGGATCAGTGCATTCCAAAAGAGATCAGCTTCCTATCTTTCCATGAGCCTTTGGGGATCACTTTGACTATTTTTGCCCTTTTATTTTCCTCTATCACAGCCCTGATCCTCGCAGTTTTCATTCAGCACAAGGACACTCCCATAGTGAAAGCCAACAACCGAGGCCTCAGCTATACTCTCCTGGCCTCCCTTCTGCTTTCCTTTCTCTGCCCTTTGCTTTTCATTGGTCACCCTCAGAGGGCAACCTGTCTCCTCCGCCAAACTGCTTTTGGTATTATCTTCTCTGTGGCAGTTTCTTGTGTGGTGGCCAAAACCCTCACTGTGGTTTTAGCTTTCATGGCCACCAAGCCAAACTCTACCATGAGGAAATGGGTGGGGAAAAGGCTGACCCTCTTTATGGTGCCTTCCTGCTCCCTTATTCAAGCCATTCTTTGCACTGTGTGGCTCATGAGCTCTGCTCCCTTCCCAGATCTTGACATGGGCTCTCTGCCTACAGAAATGGTCCTGGAATGCAATGAAGGCTCCACTGCCATGTTCTACGCTGTCCTGGGTTTCATTGGCCTCTTGGCCATGATCAGCTTTACAGTGGCTTTCCTTGGCAGGAACCTCCCAGACAGTTTCAACGAAGCCAAATTTATCACCCTCCGCATGCTTCTCTTTTGCAGTGTCTGGATCTCTTTTGTCCCAGCCTACCAGAGCACCAAAGGGAAATACACGGTGGCTGTGGAGATCTTCTCCATCTTAGCCTCAAGTGCTGGATTACTGACCCTCATTTTCTCCCCCAAAGTTTACATCATCTTGATAAGACCTGAGCTGAATAACAGGCAACAACTCATGCGAAAAAAACCCATGAAATGATTTATAGGAATCAGTCTCCTTGTTCACAACATAATTTAGATGAGTAACAAAACCACTCTGTGGTTGCAATGACAAGTGGCCTAAATGTTTTTAAGCAGAATATCTGAGTATAAGTGTAATAATAAAATCTGAAATGTTCTTTGTGGCTTCATTTACTCATGGCTATATGTAATCTAGAGAATCATTTACCACAAAGTATGAACAGACTTCCTGAGTGTAAAAGCTTTAAATTAGTGGACCATCCTGCCCCTTGAAGCCATTACATTCAATGAGTTCTGGAATAAGGCCAGAAGTTCTGTCTCTGTTTCTGGCACACTCTTGTCAGCCCTAGTGTCACTGGGCCTGCCACTCTTTTTGCGGGCGCCATTAAAAGAAGAAGCATGGTAGCTAGGGTTTGCGGATCAGCCTCCGTAAGGCTGTTCCACATGGATGGCAAGTGCATGTGGGGCACGTGGGGCATGCCACCCTAGGAAATGGCGGGGACCTGTTTTGCATGCAGTTAAATATTTTCAGGGAAGGCTTATTTTAAGGGGAGCAGTTATTTTAGCACATGCGCTCAAAAGTCCAGTTGGGCTTATTATCTGGAGAGGTCTTATTTTCAGGGAAACAGGGTAGACCTCTGGATTTGTATATGTCTTTGCCTTGCATCCCTGGGGATTACAGGGAAAAGGCATATAGAAGCTCTCGGGATTGTTTAAATTGTTGAAATATGAAGGAGAGAGAGATGCAAACAATACCTCATGGAGGCAAATTGAGGAAATGAATAAGTTGGTATACATTGATGGTGAGTTACTAAGAGCAGGAAATAATTTGAATGCTAGGAACATTTCTAAGAATCATACTGTAAGAAAGAAACCAAGATGTTATAGTGCTTAAGAAGTTGGATTCGGATGAAAATGTGCACAACATAAAGGAACATTTTATCATGCTTGGTGGATGTGTAACAAAAGCTAGAAAAAATAGGTGTTCTTCTCTAAGAAGACCTTGAGGCATACTTTTTGGTCCTGAACTTAATAATAATAACAGAATAATAAAGTTTTAAGGGACCTAGGAAATCCCTTTGTCCAACCCCCTTCTTGAGCAGGAGACCTTAGACCATTTCACACAAATGAATGTCCAGTCTCTTCTTGAAAGGGTCAAGGGATGGAGCACCCACAACTTCTGAAGGCAAGCTTTTACACTGGGTGATTGTTCTCACTGTTAGGAAATGTCTTCTTATGTCCAGGTTCAATCTCTCTTTAATGATCTTCTATCCATTAGTTCTTATCGTGCCCTCATGTACTTTGGATAATAAATCAGTACTCTTTTCTCTATGACAACCTCTCAAGTATAGAAAGACAGTTATCATGTCCCTCCTAAACCATGTTCTTTGGTATTGTTTCACTTCCTAAGTCTTTACTTCTGGAGGCCATTTCGGGAGCATCTCACATCTTATAGGGATTGCCATAGCCTATTGCCGCCTCCGCATGCCCCATTTTCAGCTTATGCACATCTTGTTTTTGGCCTCTGTGTGCCCCATTTTCCACCCGTTCTGGGCAGCGGGGATCAGAATGGACAGAAAATGGGGCACACGGAGGTGGCAATAGGCAATGGAAGTCCTTACAGCGTGAAACAGCTGATGGTGACCATGGAGGTTGATCCAACCAACAATCAGCTGCTTGTGCTAATCAAGCTGTGCTGAACCTGAAACTAAAACAGGCTGTTTGCTATTTGCTGCAAAGAGGCAAATTACAGGGAGGCAGAGGCCAAAGGTGGGGGCTGGCAAGTGAATGGGACTACATTCAGTCTATAAGATGCACCCACATTTCACCCTCTTTTAAGGGGGAAATGCATCTTATACACTCAAAAATACGGTATATATTTATTTTGGTTTATTGTATTTAAAATCATGTAGTATATGGCCACCTTTCCTGTAAGTCAGAACTCTGGCTGGTTGACAGGAATAATAAATCCAGAAACAAGGAAATCTAGAAAACCACACCCCTGACTCACAAATCCATCACACCCTATGGTTATCTGTCCCAATCTCACTCAAAATTGTTAAATGTTACAACCCTCATTTTAAATAGTATTCCTAGTGTGAATATGGATGAATTAGGTTTTAAAAAATACCCTAGTGAATTATCATATTTTAGCAGAACTTGTTCTGACCTAGTTTTCCCCAAAAAGCAGGAGGCAGAGTCCTGGTCCTGACAAAACCCCTTTTATTAAATGAATGTGAATTCCTTTCATTCACATTCAGCAAGGCCTGGCAAACAGTCTTTCAAAGGAATATTTATGACTACAGACCTTATCTATCCTGGAAAGCTGCTATGTAAATATTTTCCAAATGAGGTGCTGTGCAAGGAAAGACTGGGCAGAGAGTCTCTGAGATTCTGCTTCCTGTAAAAGTCCACTCCCCTTTTGTTCCTCTTTTATTTCCTATGCGAGGGGCCAATCACCTTCCACCTGTGACTTTACTCCCAAGTCTACCCTGATTTCTGAGTTGTTCTTTTCTTCTGGCAGCTCTGCACATGCGCACACTGGGAACAGGCTCCAGCTGTTCCTCTGCCTCACTGCTGTGTAGCTTTGTAGGCACCTCATCACTGCCAGACAACCTCGGCCCTGTCTCTGCCTCCAATGCACAGCCCTGGTCCAAGCCTTCCCTAGCCTCCAGGACTGGCCCATGCTACTCCCCAACCTCATCACTGTCCGACTCTGCTGCCAGCTCTGCTGGCCGCTGGTGAGTCACAACAGAACTGAAGAAAAAGATATAGAAAAATTCTGACCTGAAGCTTGCAGATTCAAATCTGGATTGTTACCTAATAAACTCTACCAAAAATAAACATGTGGGTGACAAATAAGACGTTTCAAAGCAACCTCCAAAGGAGATGGGGCTTTCATCATAACACCATTTTTGCCATCTTGCTTATCTTTCACCTCACTTGGATGTACTCTTGTACTGCTCTCTTGTTTTAGGAAGTCACATTATTTTGAAACTTTTTAGGGAAAGAGAAATCCTTTGCTGAAATAACAGATTAGAAAATAATTTCCTACTTCTACATGGGAAAGAATTTCTAATGATGAGTAGGTCTTTGAATTCCCCATAATTATCCAACTGGTGCTAATTACCTGGACAACTCCTTGAGGGGACAAGGGATTTTCTGGTAGTGACTAGCAAAACAGAGAATCCGGATTGAAGGACCTTCTTAATCTGGACTGAAACATTTAGAGCAAGACTTTTGAAGTAATTGGGTGTCCTGGATATCCTTATTAAGTTGACATTGCTATGCAAAAACAGCAGCATTTGGATGGCTGGAAGACAACAGGTGACTTGAAGTTAAGGAGAAGATGTGCATTCATGACAATGACATTTGTTCTTTTGATACTGCTGCTACTTCCTTGGACGATGTGTGACATTTCGGTTGCTAAATGCATAATCAGTGAGCCTCGGAATATCAATCATAAGTATTATCAGTCAGGGGATGTTATAATAGCTGACATTTGTTCGCAGAGCTACGTGTTTCCCAACACTCTCTATTTTGAAAGGCATCCTTCTTCTGAAGACCTTTATGAGCTCATGTAAGCAACCGGTACCTTGTACCAAATGTTTAAGGTTCTGAGGTTCTCCTTATTTTTGAATTTTCAATCAAGTAGGATAAGAACACACTGTCCTTTTAACTTAAATGAGCCAGAATTTTCATTCAGTTAACGCAGCAATTGAGGCAATATTCCCAAGCAAGTTATCAGATAAAGATTCAGTGGGTGGAGAAACTAAGACTGATTTAAATCTTTCATTGTGCCACATTATTCTCATTCTCATTATTGTCCTTCTGTAATTTACCATTCATTTTAAGAGAATTTATTTATTGATAAAAATTTGTTGGCTGCCCATCTTACCATAGGGTAACTCTGGGTACTTCACATACATAATTTTATTTGAATTTTATAATTTAACTAGCTGGATACCTGTGCTCCGCTATGAAACTATGAGATTGAGCTTGATAAATCAACACTTACAGCTTGAAAATTAATGGGGCTTACAGAGTGCTCCAGGGTGGGGGAGCCAAAAACAAACAAAAATCGGCCCATTTTTTGCAAAACTGGCTCGTTGTTTTTTTTATACAAAAAATGGTATTCATAGCCTTATGGAGTCTTATAGAGTGTTGCTGGGGGCTGGGAGGGCAAAACACAGCCTGTTTTTTGCTTATTTCTGCCCTCTCCAGCCCCCAGGAGCTCTCTAAAAGCCTCCATAAATGTATGCACAGCCATTTTAGTGAAGAGGCGGGGCTTCGGGAGGCAAAAATGCTGTATTCGATGTATAAGATGCACCCAGATTTTCAGCCTCTTTTTTGAGGAAAAAAGGTGCGTCTTACACTCCGAAAAATACCATAGTTACAATCGCCCTCTTCTCTCTCCTTCTTTCCTTCAGACTTGTCTCACAGAAGCCTCTCCTCTCCTCTCCCCCTTATCCCCCTCAGGCTGGTGCCATTGATCCCTTCCTATCCCCTTCTTTCCCCCAGACTTGCCCCACAGAAGCCTCTCCTATTTTATCCCCTTCTCTCCCTCAGTCTAACTCCTTAGAATCAGAGCATGTTACTAATAATTATAAGAAATACTAATGATCTGATGGTCATTTTGAAAAATCCTTTCTTAGCAAGCACCTAGAATCCAAGAGGAACATATGTGACAAATTTGAAGTTTGTAGCTTTTACAGTTCTGGTGATTTTGTGATGATGCATGAGTGGTATTTCACTTATATATGAATGAATGTAAGAATTGTCCATTTCATGTTCCTAGCACAACAAAGGAAGACTGATGATTACTTATTTTCCCTTAGAAAAACAAACTAGTTTTCAGTAAGCATTGTGAAATGAAAGATAAGTGAAAGCTATCAGGTCAGAAAAAAATCCCTAACAACATCAAGTTGGTATTTGAATATTGTGCATAAATAAATTGAACACAACTATGTAGAATTCTTGGGTATTGGCTAAAAATACAGTAGGGGGAAGCCCACCTGCCAAAGCTAAGATGCTCAAGTAATCTAAATCCTATCTCTACAGTATTAGTAGACCATGCTACTAATGACTGCACTGTAGTTCCTGCTAAGATATACAGTTGGTAGAAACCTCTATACATAGCCAAGGTCACATCCTTTCAGAGTTATTCCTTTACTAGAAATATAATTCTTTATTGGCCAAGTGTGATTGGACACACAAGGAATATGTCCTCGGTGCATAAGCTCTCAGTGTGCATCAAAGATAAATCATGATCATAGTCATCATAAATATATTCATCATGAATCATAAGATACAATACTTAGTGATAGTCATATGATACTAAATAAGCAATCAACAAAAATAATACTAGGAAACTAAGTAAAACAATATAAATCTTAAAGATACAAGCAACAAAGTTATATCCATGTAGAAAAGAAGATAGGTAATTGGAAGGATAAGACGAATAATAGTAATGCAGTCTTAGTAAATAGTTCGACAGTGTTGTGGGAATTAGTTATTTAGCAGAGTGATGGCATATGGGGAAAAAACTGTCCTAGTTGTTCTGGTGTGCAGTGTTCCATAGTCATTTTGAGGGTAGGAGTTGAAACAATTTATGTTCAGGATGCGAGGGGTCTGTAGATATTTTCACAGCCCTCTTTTTGACTCGTGCAGTATACTCGTCCTCATTGGAAGGCAGCAATTGGTAGCAATTGTTTTTTCTGCAATTCTAATTATGCGTTGAAATAAAAATTAACATGGAGATGGATTTTTTTTCCAATANCTAGAATACAGACAGATTTCTTCAATACTAGTTCAAATGGTTGTTTCCTGCAAATGTCCCCTCCCAATGCCTCACTTATAAACCCTCTTGGGAGGGGCCCATCTACAACCACCTGTGCATAATTATCTTCTATGAGACTGCCTACAGAGTTGCTGTTGCGTTTCTCAGCCCGCCTCAATCGAGCATCAGGGACAAACTGCCTTTGATCTTCCCCACTGCTCCATGCCTCAGGAGCTTCCTGGTGGCCAACCAGCCTCTCTGGTCCCAGCTTTGAATCTGAACCCTGCACAGGATCCTCCACATCTTCCATAGCAGACTATGGTTCCTCACTATCCGAGTCCATCAGCAGCTCAACCGGATCCTGCTGGGCCACAACAGGTATCCATTTTAAGTCTTGAGATATGATAGAACCTAGAAACTTAAAGGTCTCTGCTGTTGATCCTGTGTTGTCTAGTATTGAAAGAGGTGGTACTATAAGAAGTTTTCTTCTAAAATCCACCACTATTTATGTGGGTTTGAGTATATTTTAGTTCAAGATTGTTCTGGTTGCATTACAAGGATAGTTGTTCAACCTCCCACCTGTATGCCAGTTGTTCCCATCTCATTCATCATTGTCTTGAATGAGACCAGTCACTATTATATCATGTTGCATCATGTATTTCTCTATGGGCTTTGTTTCTTCTTCCATTTTTGTGAGAAAGCGAAAACAAATTCTGGAAACCAGCAAAAGCATTACAAATCATGATTATATGACCAAATGTCCATAAAGGTGAGCTGGTTGGCAATCACCCAGAATGCTATTGTATGTCATTGCAACTTCAAAAATATTGGTCTGTGTTATAGATCAGCTTTAGTGATTAGCCCACTGTGGGGTGTCAATGCTAAAGTCATTTTGGAGCATCTTTAGGGCTGCCACAGCAAGGCTGGTTGGAGCTGTGGAAATGGGAGGGGGGAGTGGAGATAGCTGGGTACTTGTAACCAAAATAACATTCTTTCTCCTGGGAACCAAGGATGTTCTCACCAGATGCTGGGAAGGCATGGACTGGAACCCAACTGGAGTTGGGTCTGTGACCTGGTTGGACCATGTGATGGACATGTGGATTGGGTGAAAGAACTTTTTTAATTTGGCTGGGGAAAACCTTAGTACATTCAGAGTCAGGTTTTCACCAGATGTGCCAATATGACATGCCTAATAAATTTGGACTTTGGGAAACACTTTGGCCTTGGAGGTTTGATTGCATTGGGTCTGCTACAGGGAACCCTGACATGGGGTTACATGCAATGTTCAGGAACTTAAAAAACTTATTAAAGCAGAATGAGTTGTATAATTGAAATTATAATAATAAAATGAAATAAGAGTTAATGTTGTCCCACCCTTCCTATCAAACATTTTTCTCCTGTCCAGAACATTTTATTTTGCCCTCTGTCATGAATTGCACTGGCCCACCTTACTATGGTATGGAGGAGAAGGTGAGTCACTCTATCATAGTTTTCTACTAGCCAAAAGCAGAGTTGTTAACAGATAATATATATGTATCCCTAAAACATATTCATTGAAATGACAACAGCTAGTTCTCAACTTACAACCAAGCATTTGGTGACCATTTTAATTTACAATGGCAATGAAGAAAGCGATTTATGACCATTTTTCACACTGAGCGACCTGATCAGAAAGATCGGCAGTTTAGCGGTTTGAATCCCTAGCACTGTATAACGGAGTGAGCTCCCATTACTTGTCCCAGCTTCTGCCAACCTAGCAGTTCAAAAGCATGTAAAAATACAAGTAGAAAAATAGGGACCACCTTTAGTGGGAAGGTAACAGTGCTCTGTGCACCCTTGGTGTTGAGTCATGCCGGCCACATGACCATAGAGATGTCTTCGGACAGCGGCTTTGAAACAGAGATGAGCACCGCCCCTTAGAGTCAGGAATGACTAGTATATACGTAGTATATATAGTGGAACCTTTACCTTAACTATTGCAGCATCCATCTGGTCATGTGATGAAAATCCAAACACCTGGCAACTGGCTCATATTTATGCACTGTCCCAGAGTCGTGTGACCCACTTTTGTGATCAGCAAAGTCTACGGGGCAGCCAGATTCACTTAATAACCATATTATTTACTTAACTGCAGTGATTCACTTAACAACTGCAGCAGCAAAGATCATAAAATGGGATAGAGTTGCTTAAGAACTGTCTAGCTTAGTTAGCAATGGAAATTTTGAGCTCAATTGTGGTCATAAGTCAAGAACTACATGTATATTTTATTACATCCAACAAATTTTAACTCTATAAAAAGTTTGAAGTTGTTCTCAAATAAGGTTTTCAGAAGTTTGATTAATTCCCATGATTGCTTTGTTATATCTCCAATCAGTGAATATTTCTCAAGGGATAGTTGAGTACTAAAGCGTTTCACATTTTAGATTTCTTCCTTCCATGAATGATGCTCTTATACTGTAGATCTTCCAAGCAAATTATTCTCATCAGATCAATTCTTAATAGATTGTTTTCCTGTATTTATTCTAAGTGATACAGGTAGGGTAAACCTTACCCATATTATACATCATAAGGATTAAGAGGAATGGAATGGAAGGGAAGGGAAGGGAAGGGAAGAGAGAAGAGAAGAGAAGAGAAGAGAAGAGAAGAGAAGAGAAGAGAAGAGAAGAGAAGAGAAGAGAAGAGAAGAGAAGAGAAGTATAACAACAGAATAACAGAATTAGAGAGTGGGAAGGGACCTTAGACTCGCAATATTCCCTCTAATTTTTTTTCAGCAGAAAAGTATAGTGTTTCAGTGGCANAACAATTTATGTTCAGGATGCGAGGGGTCTGTAGATATTTTCACAGCCCTCTTTTTGACTCGTGCAGTATACTCGTCCTCATTGGAAGGCAGCAATTGGTAGCAATTGTTTTTTCTGCAATTCTAATTATGCGTTGAAATAAAAATTAACATGGAGATGGATTTTTTTTCCAATAAGCATGCAGACATAGAAATTTAAGTGCGCCTAATTGAAATATAAGCATTTTTTTACTGACATTTTAAAGTATTATTTGGACTTGATGGCTTGGAAAGTCCACAAATGGTCTGCCACAACAAAGTTTTGGTGGATTTTCAAATGAAAATCGTGGAGAACCTGAGTTTAGGTTTCATCACTAAGTTGCCCATATATCTTATTACCCAGCAACCTTACAAAATACAATGCCTAATTATTTCAAAATGAATAGGAATTTAGCAAGCCTTAAACCTCTTGAGTAGAGGCAATTCATTGGTGCAGGCAAATCTCTGGCTCAAAGAGCACTGGCTCTTCAGCTTGGAAACGGAGATGAGCACTGCCCCTAAAACTGGAAACGACTAGCATGTACGTGCAGGGAACCTTAGAAAATCCAGGGGTGGCCTGCCAAACCAAAGTGAGTTTTGGTGGATTCCATCTTTTTCAATTGAAAATAGTTGATAACCTGCACCTGAATTTCATCATGATGTTGCCCGGATATCTTATGATTCTGTAACATTACAAAATACAATACCTATATATTAAGGGAATAGGAATTTAGCAAGCCTTAAACTTCTTAAGCAGAGGCGTTAAATCTCATTACAGATATTTGACTCAGACCTACCAGCATGTCCTGGCTTTTCTATTTGCTGTGAAGGAGATCAATGAAGATACGCAGATGTTGCGCAACATCTCCTTAGGTTTCAGTATTTATAATGACTACTTCAGTGGAAGCTTAACTTATCTTGCTTCTCTGGAGCTCCTCTCCACATGGGACCACTTCATTCCAAACTATAAATGTGATGCCCGAAGTACTAATGTGGCTGTGATTGGAGGACCCGACTCCGAGGCATGTCTTTTAATGGCCACCATTCTGAGCATCTATAAGATACCGCAGGTAAAGTGGACATTTGAAGAATGAAATTGTAACAAACCAGGTTGCAGTGCAATGTAGTAGGCTGGATTTCCAAAAGAAGATGAGATCACTCTAGAGGAATAAGAGGATGCTCAATCCAGATATTTTATATGAGACAAAGTGGATGAAGGCAATTCTTCCCTAATCATTCTTAACAGTGGTGAAATTCAAATTTTTTTTACTACCGCTTCTGTGGGCCTGGCTTGGTGGGTGTGGCATGGCTTGATAGGCATGACAGGGGAAGGATACTGCAAAATCTCCATTCCCTCTCCACTCTGGGGCCAGCCAGAGATGGCATTTGCCTGTTCTCTGAACTACTCAAAATTTCCACTACTGGTTGTCTAGAACCTGTCAGACTCCTGAATCAGACTGAGTATATAGTAGATGCAAATATCATAGTGCTTTGCTTTGGTCCCTTTACTTAAGCTCCATTCTAACAGGATATTCTTATAGCTTTTCATTTTCTTCCACCCAGTGTGAAAATATTGAATGAATCCCAATCCTTCAAACAATAAAAATTTACCTGCATTCATACTATACACTCAGCCTTTCTTTTCTTTATAGCTTGGATATGGTTCTTCTCCTATGATTAATGATCAATCTGAACAATTCCACATCCAATGGATGTTCCCAAATGTAAACCAGCAATATGTGGGGATTCTCCAGTTGCTCATGCTTTTTTCATGGACCTGGATTGGAGTCATTTATATACAGGATGACAGTAGCCACGGATTCATGCAGAATGAACTTCCCAAGTTATCTGCAGGAGGTATCTGCTTTGACTTTATCAAGCCATTCCCAAATGTGTACTTCAAAACGGGCATTCAGAAAATGATAGAGGCCTGGTTTAAACTATACCTCTTGATCAGTGACAGCACAGCCAGTGTTGTGTTCCTACATGGCAAATTTCACACTACAATCTTCTTGAGAATGTTTCCCAGAATTTTGGAACTTGAAAATGTACAAATGAAGAGGGCCAAAGTTTGGATGCTGACCGCACAGATGGATTTCACTTCTCTTCCCTTTCAACAATCTTGGGATATAGATATCCTTCATGGTTCCTTGGCCTTTGCAACTCAGTCAAAAGAACTGGTGGGTTTCCAACATTTTCTTCAGATGAGAAATCCCAATGTGGAGACCAGAGATGGCTTTATTAAGGACTTTTGGGCACAGGCATTTGATTGTTCCTTTCCAACTTCCTTGGAAGAGGAGAAGGCTTGGAATCATTGCACTGGGAAAGAGAAGCTAGAAGCTCTTCCTAAATCTGTTTTTGACATGAGCATAACTGCCCCTAGCTACAGTGTCTACAATGCAGTTTATGCTGTAGCCCACGCATTGCAATACATGACTTCCTTAAAGTTCAAGCACAGAACTATGTTTGGAAAAGGACAAAAGAAACTCCTGAATCAACAGCTGTGGCAGGTAATGTCCCGATTACACAAACAGAAGGGAGGCTGTCTACATATCTACTGAAATTGATGTTTTTGTACATTTTAGAAGAGGCATAACCATTTTCTTCCATCATTTCACAGCTCTTCCTGCTTATAGATTACTTTTGATGAATTTAAGGTGTTTGATTTTCCAGGTGGAAGCTAAAATTCAACAGCACTAACTCGTCAGCAGTTCATTATCTGATGACCATAATGGGAGAGTTAGGGTCTAAAAGAGATTAAGTTTATATTGTGTTGTGTTCTGCCCAACCCGGCCAGAAGATGGCGCTGTGTGAAGTACCTCTGATTTGCCAAGACGCACTGGCCAGTGGAAAAATGCAGACATCCCATTGGTTCCCCGTCTGACAGCTACAAGTCTAAATAGCTGTCAGACGGGGTTTGCTTGTCTTTTGCCTGTCAGTAGTTCTGTTAATAAACTGTTGCTGTTTACTGTTTCTGCCACCTCTTCAGTTATTGCTGCCTCAAGCTATAAAACTGGCAACGAGGTCTAAAGAACCGGATCCCCAACAAGTGCCTCCTATGGCTGCTGCTTCTGTTTTTTCTCCTTTTCACCCTGAGGCTGAATCATGGGACGTGTTCCTTGAACGCTTTGAATGTTTTCTCTTAGCCCATGATCTTACCAGCCTTTCTATTGACTGGAAGCACGGCATTTTCTTAAATTACTGTGGAGCGGAGATGTTCGCTACTGCTAGGGCACTGTCGTCGCTTACTCCAGTCCATGCTGTGCCGTGGGAGCTGCTGCTGACTAAACTCAAAACCCACTACGAGCCCGCTCCCTCCTGATTCGCATGGCGTCAATTCTTCCGCCATTCTGCATCCAAACTGAGCGTCAATCCATCAGTCATTACGTGGCTACTCTATGGGCTGCTGCTATTAACTGTGAATTCACTGATCTCGATAAAGCACTCCTCCAACAGTTCATCTATGGCCTCATATATCAACCTTCACCGCTGTATACTCTCCCGGTCTGAACTAACCCTCAAGATAGCCATAGATGAAGCCCACACATCTGAGATGGCTGACCAGTCCATGCCTGACCTTCGCCATTTTCCTCCACCTACGCCTCCTGCATTTCCTGTCTCAACTGTTCACCACCAGCAGGTATCTGACAATTTCCAGTTACAGTTGGACCTGGCCATCGACCGCTTGCAGTCCCTGTCTCACAAGGATGGTTGTCCCTGCCTGAGCTACAGAGGCCGGTATCTATGTTCTTCCTGCCGCTTCCACTCCACTGTTTGCCGAAAATGCAGCAAGAAGGGTCACTTGGCGTCTGTCTGCCATTCGGCCATCCCCGACCCACGCCCGGCCAACCTGCCTGCTGCCATCTACTGCCCACCTACACCTCCTATGGCTCACCACCAAAACTGCCTCTTTTCCCCACCCTGAACTCCCCCGGGCCTTTCTGGTGCCTCTTCAGTTATTGCTGCCTCAAGCTATAAAATATTGTGTCCCTTCTTGATTATTAGTCTGCTTGCCCTTTGTTTTAGGATAACTTCAGACCTCCTTGTCTGCATTTCTGAGTGACACACTTAGGAAGCACATGATCTCTGACTCTCCTCCTCACATAATTTTACCACCGCTCCGCCGTGCACCGAAAATGTGAATGCACACATGTGCATGCCTGCTTCACTCGTGTGCACCTTCTGTGCATGTGTACAGCCTTCCACCCATGTACTTTGCATGCATGCTGCTTAGAAAACATGGCTAAATAAGATGGCATAGCATCAGGATGGGTGGGCAGGGCCTCGCTACTGGTTCGCCAAATCATCTGAATACCACCACTGTCTATCATGTACAGTATATTATTAAATGCATAATAATCTTTCCTTGGGCCACATTCCTCTTCACAAGAATTTTTTCATGGACATCCTTCAACATTTCTGTAGTGACTAATAAAAACTATATTAAAAATGATTCTAGAATGGTTATGTAATGACATTATTTAGTCAAGTTCAAAAGTATAGCATGCTCCCATGAAAACAAAATTTCAGGAAACACCATGGGACAGAGCACATTTTCAATGGAAAGACTAACTCTATGACAATTTTTATTACATCCAAATAAGAATTACAAACAGTAAAGGATATTTCAATAATTCAAATAAGAGATCAGGATCCTGGTGTGTCTTGCTTGATTCATTTTTCCATTGAAGATATTCCTATGACAAATAAATATCCTGATGCTTGAATTTGCTTGCGTTTTTCATACTTCCTGTTTTTTTCTTTAAAGAGATAATCCACACCCTGGAAACAATGATAAACTAGTTTTCACTCTTTATATTTTGTTTACAATATTAGCCATATTACAAGTAAACAAATATTAGGCAACAAATTACTTATATTTAATCATGATTTTTAATAATTTGAGTAGGCATTGGTATTTCTATCTTACAAAATATTTTCACCTTTTAATTGGTATTCTTTTTGTGTTTATTAATTGTTTATTTTTCTTTCCACTTTCAATTAGTTCCACAGCTTTCTAAGAAAAGTCTCATTTAACAACACTGTTGGGGAAATTATTTCTTTTGATCAAAATGGAAATCTGGAAGCAGGATTTGATATTAACAACTGGGTCACATTCCCAAATCTAAATCTACATCGAGTCAAAGTGGGAAAATTTGACCTCCGGACAGCCAAAGGAAAAGTTTCCACTGTTAATGTCAAAGCCATTAGTTGGCCAAGAAAGTTTAACCAGGTATTTTCCATATACATTTGGAGTGCATCTCATTCATTCAGGCTATACTTAATGAAAATAGCAGTGTGGTCATATACTATATAACTATATGGAAGTTAGTTGAACTTATTTCCATTTTTTTAAAGTAATCTAGACCTTTTCTGGCCATAGAAAGGTGGTTTTCTAACAATGTTGTAATTTTTGTACAATTGGTTAGAGAAGACCTTTGCATAATTTTTAAAAAGTAAATAGAGCATGATTTTTAGGGGAAAATCAGTGGTGGTATTCAGCCAGTTCTGACCAGTTCTGGAGAATTGTTAACAAAAATTTTGAGTAGTTCAGAGAACCGGTAAATACCACCTCTGACTGGTTCCACCCCCATTTATTCTCTGCCTCCCGAGGAAATGGGATTTTGCAGTAACCTTCCCCTAGAGTAGGGAGGGAACAGAGATTTTACAGTATCCTTCCCCTACCATGCCCACCAAACCATGCCATGCCCACCAAGCCACACCCACAGAACTCATAGTAAAATATTTTGAATCCCACCACTGGGAGAAAATGTAACTTATTTAACACTGCAAATGGTAAAAATTGATGGCATATAATACCACGCAATTCCACTGCAAGATTATTGCCCCAAATCTGGCACAAGTACAAATGTTTGATTTTTTTAAAAAAAACTTGTTTGCTTGTAAAATTGTAATAACGCCTTTTGATTGGGATTAAAAAAAAATAAATGCTCTGTGCACATTCCATTTTCAAACTTCTGTATGGTTTGGTTGTCTAACTAGAACCAATGTTGTATGGCTATCCCAGTATCAAGTCAATATTTAGGGCATTCTGTCCTGTCTGCTTCTCTTTGTGCCTAGGCTCAGCCTCTGTCATTGTGCAATGAACCCTGCCATAAAGGTCACAGCAGGAGCAAGAAGGAAGGGAAGCCATTTTGTTGTTACGATTGCCTTCCATGCCCAAGAGGAAAAGTTTCAGATCAAATAGGTAAAGAGATCATAGACTGAGTTGGAAACAGATGGTGGTATTCATAATTGATCACATAGAGATTAGTGGTTGGATTAAAAAAATGTACTACTGGTTCTATGGGCGTGGCTTGGTACGCGTGGTGTGGTTTGGTGGGCATGGCTTGGTGGGCATGGCAGGGGAAGTTTATTGCAAAATCCCCATTTCCTCCCAATCAGCTGGTACTCAGAAGGCAGAGAATAGATGGGGGTGGGGCCAGTCAGAGAAGGTATTTACCGGTTTTCCAAACTACTCAAAATTTCCACTACCAGTTCTCCAGAACTGGTCAGAACCTGCTGAGTACCACCTCTGATAGAGATCAAGTTGAATAGAGTTGTTTCCCTCTGTGTAGATCCCAGTGGCTTTAGTCATCCAGGCGCCCACCATTGGCTGCGCCTCTTTGCCCCCAGCCACCCACCTCAGATGATTCATACCCAGGTTTCCTCCTCTGCTGACCTTCTCACAGACATTCTCCATAGCCAATGCCTCCCCTGACCCTCTGACACTTGCCCTTCATCCCTGATCATTCGCCCTGTCCATTTGACCTGAGACAAAGAGCCCCCAGCCAATTGGGTAGCAGACAGCAGCAATAGGCAGCATATGATTGGTGTTGGGTGGGGCGATTACAGGGGCTGTGAGATGGACAGGGTACGATGCTAGATTATTTTTTTTAAAAAGTGCCGGGGCTGCTCCATACTGACTGGTGATGCAGAGAGGGACAGTGTGGAGTTATAAAGAGATGGTGTCAGAGGGGGGCAGACAGGCAAGCATGTGTTGGGAGAGGTCAATAGGAAGGGAGGCAGGGTCACTTCTAGGGAGCTTTGCAGAGACAGTTTGGTTCGCAACTCATCCAGCTCCAATGAAATGAAAGTGGGGAGGAGGAGCAAGCCCAGTGTATGCTCTGGCATTGCAGGGTGGGACATGGCAGTTGAACAGCAGTGTCATGCAGAGGAAACGGCAGGAGCCTTGCAGCACCCTTGTGCCATCTCCCTTCTCCCTGCAACATCAGCAGCCTCAAACAAATTGATGCTGGACTCTCCAAAATGCTTCATGAAAACAAACATGTGAGAATCAAGCGCTTGTCTTTGGAACTCACTTTGCGTATGGAGCACCTATTTTCATTTCAATTCTATACACCAACTTCTAAATAAATATCTGTGGGGTTTTTTTCTTTTTCAGATGTGGATTCTTGTTACCAGTGTCCAGAGGATCACTATGCCAGCCAAGCCCAGGATCGCTGCATTCTAAAAGAGATCAGCTTCCTATCTTTCCAAGATCCTTTGGGATTCATTTTAGCCATTTTTGCTGTTTTATTTTCCTTCATCACGGCTCTGGTTCTCACAATCTTCATTCACCACAAGGACACTCCTATAGTCAAGGCCAACAACCGAGGCCTCAGCTACACCCTCCTGATCTCCCTTCTGCTTTCCTTTCTCTGCCCTTTGCTTTTCATTGGTCAGCCTCAGAGAGCAACCTGTCTCCTCCGCCAAACTGCTTTTGGCATCATTTTCTCTGTGGCGGTTTCTTGTGTGGTGGCCAAAACCCTCACTGTGGTCCTCGCTTTCATGGCCACCAGGCCAGGTTCTAAAATGAGGTCATGGGTAGGAAACAGGCTAGCCATCTTTATGGTGTTTTCCTGCTCCTCCATTCAAACCACTCTTTGTACAGTATGGTTGCTGAGCTCTGCTCCATTTCCAGATCTTGACATGCACTCTCTGCCTACAGAAATGGTCCTGGAATGCAATGAAGGCTCCACTGCCATGTTCTACGCTGTCCTGGGTTTCGTTGGCCTCTTGGCCATGATCAGCTTTACAGTGGCTTTCCTTGGCAGGAATCTCCCAGACAGTTTCAACGAAGCCAAATTTATCACCCTCAGCATGCTTCTCTTTTGCAGTGTCTGGATCTCATTTGTCCCGGCCTACCAGAGCACCAAAGGGAAATACACGGTGGC